GGTTTTTTTTTTTTTTTTGTAGTTCTGGCAGTTGAACCTGGGCCTTCACACAGACCTCCATCCCTGGCCCGCCCTCTTCATTTTGAGACAGTGTGTTACTTAGTTGCCGAGTTGCCCAAGGTGGGTGGAACATATGACCCTCCTGCCTCAGCCTCCAGAGTGTCTGAGAGTATCTCTGACATGCGCTCTAATGGGGTCATCTTCTGAGCACAGGTTCACACTGTACCTGCTGTTTTAGCATGACTTTTCCCCTTGGAGCCCCCTGTTCCCTGCGGGCTGCATATTGCAGTGTATGACTCACCTGCATCTTATCTCTCTGCCCAGCTCTGTGGTGTCCCATCTGGTTTGTGGGGTTTAGACCAAGGCCTGACGTTGTGGCCGTGGGGTCATGGGAAGGGGGTGGCTCTCGGGGACCCCTCCAGTGGGGGACTCAGGTATCTTTCCAGCCATAAGAAGGGGAGAGGGGGTTGAGGTGAACCTGCACCCCTTGCAGGAGGTGGGTTGTCTGCACACAGCCTTCCTGGGCTGGAATCCAGGGCCTTGAATCAAGGGAGAATGCTTGCCCTGGGATTTTCTGCGTTGTCGTTAGAGTTCCTTAGTGACAGATGGCGGTAGCACAATGGGCGGTGGGTTGGGTTATGGAGTGAGGGTCCGTGGCTGGATGCTGGGTGCCTGGGTCCCCGGCTGAGCCCCACTGCAGCATAGAGGAAGATGTGAGGTGAGGTTGAAACCACCCCCACCCCGCCGTTCTTGACTCTGCCCAGGCTGTGGCCTTGCACATGGTGGCCCCCAGCCATTGTCCTGAAGCCCAGCACAGACAGATGAACAGACAGACAGACATACTCTTCCCAGCAGGAGCCGCTTTGGACTGGGAGGTTTAGTTCTCCAGCCTGGTCATGTCCCTCCCATTCATTCCTTCCTGGGGCCGGGGCTGAGCATGAACGGGCGCCCACCAGGGACAAGGGGGGTCTCCGAGCAGGAGCTGTAGTGAGCCAAGCCCCAGCCTAGGCTTTGGAACCGGTGGTGCTGGGTCATAAGAATTTTTGCCCCTGGTTCTGGGGTTGAACCCAGGGCCTTAGCATTGAGCTCTGTCCCCAGCCCTCCACCCCCTTTTTTTTTTTTTTGGATAGAGGGTCTCACTGTGTCATTCAGGCTGGCCTTGAATTCACTATGTAGCCCTGGCTGGGCTTGAGCTTACACTCCTGCCTCAGCCTCCTGGAGTGCTGGAATTCCAAGCCGGTATGCTACGGCTTGGTCTCATTGTTGACTCTTGCTTGTCCCGGATGTCCGTGTGGCCTTGGGTGGCCACTTCTCCTTCCTGTCTCCAGGGAGGATGATGGTGCAGCCTGCCGTGGAGGCTCCTGCCAGAGATGGCAGGAAAGAGCTTGCAGACCGCCAGATCCCAAATGTCCAGAGAAGAGCGAGAGGGTGCGGCCGCTGCCCAGCGCTCCCCGCTTTCTACCTCCAGCTGCCGCCCTGAGGCGTTGGGAGTCTCAGAGGCGGGAAGGAGCCAGGGCTGCATCTCAGCAGACGTTTGTATCCTCTGAGCCTAAGTATCTGCTGTGGCTGGGGAGTGAGAGGCCTGGAGTCGCCGTGGTGACAGACCCGTGCGTCTGGGTGCATGGGAGCACTTGCTTCATGTGCAGGCGCACGGGTTTCTCTCTCCCTAGCTGGGATTTGCACCTGTGGCCTCGGGGAGGAATCGGCTCAGGAGCCTGGGGGTCCCCGGGCCTCTCTCTGCTTGTGCCGCTGTCATGTGTGCGTCTTTATTAGCCGAGGCCCAGTCACGGGTCGGGGAGGGCACGCAGCAAGATCGGTCAGGCTCTCGGTCCTGGGTGCAGAAGTCCAAGGTCAAGGTGTGAGCAAGGCTCCTGAGGCCTCTGCTGGTTGCTAGATGCCCTCACCAGGTCACCCCTTGGTGCAGGGCTGTGTCCTCATTTCCTCTTGCAAGGTGGTCAGATTAGATGACAACCCATCCAGAGAGCCTCGTTTTAACTCAGTCGGCTCTTTAAGGACCCTGTCTTCAGAAACAGTTGTGGTGTGCGGGATGGGGACTTTGCCGTGACACAGTTCAACCCATACCAGCAACTTTTTTTTTTTTTTTCTTTTTGAGACAGGGTCTTGCTATGCAGTTCAGGCTGGCCTTGAGCTCACTCTGTAGCCCAGGCTGGTCTCGAACTCGCAACGATCCTCCTGCCTCAGCCTCCCGAGTGCTGGGATTACAGGCGTGTGCCACCATGCCCAGCTAGCAACTTTTTTTTTGTCTTTTTGAGACAGGGTCTTGCTAGGCAGTTTAAACTGGCCTTGAGCTCACTTCTTAGCCCAGGTTGGTTCTTTTTTTTTTTTGCATACCAGCAACTTTTATTTATTTTTAAAAATTTTTTTTGTTTTTTTTGAGATAGATTTTTGTTCTATAGTCCAGGCTGGTCTTGAACTCACTGTGTACCCTATGATGGCCTCAAACTCAAGGTAGTCCTGCCTCAGCCTCACAAGTGCTGGCTTTAGACCTGTGTACCACCACATCCAGCTATTTGAGCACCTTTTAACTTTTTTTTTCCTTTCCCATGCTGTGGATGGAACCCAGGGTCTTTGCACTGAGCAACATCTTCAGGCATTTTTTAATTTGAACTTTCATTTCTTTGATTTTGAGGAAGGGTCTGTCTGAGCTACTTAATGGACCAGGTGGGACTCAGACTTCTGACCCTCTTGCCTCCGCCTCCCTGACGGGTGTGGGTCCTGATCCTTGGATGCCTGCATAACCTGAGCAACATCCAGACCATTGCCTGGAGGCTGGGGCAGTTTCCCTTCCTACGGGGAGGTTGCAGGGCTCAACCCAGGTGACCTCGCCTGTTTGACTGTGCGTGTGTGTCCCTTTTACTCTGCCTGTTGAATAAGGAACACTTTTTGGGGGAGTTACCGGGAATTGAACTCAGGACCTCATGCTTGCCAGGCAGGTGCTGCACTACTGAGTTACATCGCCGGCCCTAAGGAGCACTTTTGAAATCGAGACTTTTTTCTTTGTTTCTTTTTTTTTTTTTGACATGACAGTTAAGGCTGTGACTTTATCTGGTCTGTCAATGTGTTTATTTGTGTGGTCCGGTGCTAATAGTTTTCTGCTTTGTTGTTTTGTTTTTTTGAGACAGGGTCTCCCTGTGTAGTCCAGGCTGGCTTTGAACTCACTATGTAGCCCAGGCTGGTCTGGAACATGCAGCAATCCTCCTGCCTTAGCCTCCTGAATGCTGAGATTACAGGCGTGCGCCACCATGCCCAGATTTTTCTTTTTTTGTGTGTTTGGTACTGGGAATTGAACTCAGGACCTTGCGCTTGCCAGGCAGGCACTGTGCCACTAAGCTACATCTCTGGCCCTCCTTTTCTTTTTTTTATAAATTTAACAAAACGATAAAATGCAGCCCAGCACAGTGGAGCACACATGTCATCCCAGCACCCAGGAGGCTGAAGCAGAAAGATCACAAGTTTAAAGCCAGTTTAGGCAACTTAGCTAAGCCCTGTCTCAAAAACAAACAGCTGGTACAGGATGCTGTGAAAAATTCAGAGTAGAAAGAAGCATTGCCTGGAGTAGAAAGAAGCCCCTCTACCCCGTCCTTTGGGGTATGCTGGCATGTGGCAGTGGGGCTGAGCCCTTCCAGAGCCGGCAGCATGGAGCTTCCAGAGTCCCTGGGGCCTGGGTGCGTCTCTGCTTCCCCCGTATGGCACACACCTGAGTGTTTACACGTAAGACGGCAGCTCGGCGGGAGCAGAGAGAGGAGACCAGGTCGCGCTGCCCCGACCACCTGCCTCGTCTGACCTGATAAACATCCATAGCATCTCTCAGTAGCGCCCCCTGGGGACACTTGGGCCTTTGGGGACATCATGGGTCCACTGCGCAGCTATGCGCCCTTGTGCAGGTCTGTCCTGTCGCAGAGCATGTCCTCGCAAGTGGCTTTTACTGTCTGGACAGAAAGAGCTTCCCCACATTCTTTTCATGTCTGTGCAAAATTCCCCTGGATCGGTGATCATTTGTCCTAGTTCTCCTTTGGAACACATTCCCGTCTTTGATGTGGTTTTTGTTGTTACTGGTTTTTTGAGACAGGATTTTGTTGTTGTTGTTGTTTTTTGTTTTTTGAGACAGGTAGCTGTCTAGTCCAGGCTGCCCTTCCATGGCAGTCCTCCCTAGGCTGGGATTACAAGCGATTGAGATAGGATCTTGCTATGTAGTTTAGGCTGATTTTGAAATAATTATGCAGCAGAACTTGTGGTCTTGAACTTGTGGCGATCCTCCTGCCTCAGCCTCCTGAGCGCTAGGATGACAGGCGATGTAGAGATGTCTGGTGTCTAAACAGTTCCCGGGACTGTCTCGGAGGGTGGGGATGGCTATCTTGGTGGGTGGGGACCGTGCATCTTGGTGGGGGCAAGTACCGGGAGATCACTCATCCAGAAGACCACCAAGTCCCACTTCCCCTCACCTCAGGCTCCTCCCAGGTCCCTGTGTCCACACTCCCCTCCTTCCCTCTGTCCCCCAGCGGCCAGTTCGCCATCGTGCGGAAGTGCCGGCAGAAGGGCACCGGCAAGGAGTACGCGGCCAAGTTCATCAAGAAGCGGCGCCTGTCGTCCAGCCGGCGCGGGGTGAGCCGGGAGGAGATCGAGCGCGAGGTGAGCATCCTGCGGGAGATCCGGCACCCCAACATCATCACGCTGCACGACGTCTTCGAGAACAAGACGGACGTGGTGCTCATCCTCGAGCTGGTCTCGGGCGGCGAGCTCTTCGACTTCCTGGCTGAGAAGGAGTCCCTGACCGAGGACGAGGCCACGCAGTTCCTCAAGCAGATCCTGGACGGCGTCCACTACCTGCACTCCAAGCGCATCGCCCACTTCGACCTCAAGGTGAGCCTGGGGGCCGCCCGGCCGCCGAGCTGCTGCCGCGTCCCTGTCCTGTGGGCGCAAGCGGCAGAGGTCTCCTCCGTCGTCCCCCCAGCCAGAGAACATCATGCTTCTGGACAAGAACGTGCCCAGCCCACGCATCAAGCTCATCGACTTCGGCATTGCCCACAAGATCGAGGCTGGCAACGAGTTCAAGAACATCTTCGGCACGCCTGAGTTTGTGGGTGAGGCTCGGGTTGCCGGAGGGGCAGGGGCGGGGACATCGTGGCGACCTGGGCTGGGGGCTGTCACTGTGTGGCCGTCCTACCCATTGCGAGCCGGTCTCCGCCAGGCATGGCAAGGTGTGCAGAGCCCAGATCACAACCTGTGTCTCCCTGTCCTTGCAGCTCCCGAAATTGTCAACTATGAGCCCCTGGGCCTGGAGGCGGATATGTGGTGAGTCCTCAAGTCCCCAGCATGGCCTTGAGCTGCGGCTGCCGCTGCTGGTGGCCAGGGCTTCTGCTTCCCCAGCAGGGTGTCCTTGCTGTGGCCTGGGTGCTGACCCCTCCCCTTGTCTCTCCAGGAGCATTGGCGTCATCACCTACATCCTGTGAGTACCTGGAGGGGCCTGGGATGCCCTGATCTTCCCGGGATGCAGGGTCCCCGCTCAGGTTCAGTGGACACCGGAGGGACGAGGGAGCCAGCGAGAGAGAGAGAGAGAGAGAGAGAGAGAGAGAGGGAGAGAGGGAGAGAGAGAGAGCGTGAGTGACTGGTTGTTGGCACATGGGCTTCCGGAAGGTGACCCTGCCTTGCGACGTGGCCAGTGTAGCCACGGGCAGGGAGGGGCCTAAGTCCTCATCTTTCCCAGGGCCACCGTTCCTTGGGTCCCCCAAGTTGGGCCTGTGCCTGTGGTCTGCCCCCTCCGTCCTGTGGTGGCGGGCACGCGGCCAGACGGCGTGGCCTGGGAGAGGTCCGGCAGCGTTGTGGGTTTTTCCCAGTTTCGATGTCGCTGGGACTCAGGGAGGAGTGGGAAGCGGTCCTGGCCCCCTTTCTCTCGCACCTTCCCCATCCGTTCCCGTGTCCACTGCGGTCTGGGGCTACACAGGACACTCTCCCCAGCGCTGCCCCTGGAGCCCGGCACACACGTGGGCAGGTGGCCTCTGCTCTCTGGTGACCCCGCTCCCAGCCCCAGCCCTGCCTGGCACCTTTGACATTTGGGTGGCTGGAGACAGTCCTCGGTCCTGGGCTCCCATGGAATGGCACAACACCCTCGCAACACAGCGGGGCAGCAGGCTCCTGCTGGGGTTGTGCCCTCTGGCTTCTCCGAAAAGTGGTGGATTTTCTGACCATTGTTCCCAAGCGTCCTGGGGAAGATGCGTGGGACTGCACTGGCCCAGAGACTGAGTTCTGCGGGGACCCCTTGATGGGTGCTGGCCTCTGATGCCTGTCAGCAGCCGGGGACCCAGGGAGGTGCAGGGAGGACCCTGGTGCCCCACCTGCCCATCCTCTGCGTGGCCCATCATGGGCGCAGGGGAGTGGGGGGCATGGTGTCACTGGTGAGGGGGCCACAGGGGGCACCCTGACCACATCCTGTGTCTGCGCTATAGTCTCAGCGGGGCATCCCCCTTCCTGGGCGAGACCAAGCAGGAGACACTGACCAACATCTCGGCCGTGAACTACGACTTCGATGAGGAGTATTTCAGCAGCACCAGCGAGCTGGCCAAGGACTTCATCCGTCGCTTGCTGGTCAAGGACCCCAAGTATGGGGGGCACCAGGGGATGGAGCAGTTGGGGTTGGGGGTTGGCCACCCAGGCCTGGAGCTGAGGGCCAGCTTGGCTTCCACTTCTGACCAGAGATGACAGACTGGAGGCTATGGCTGTCCATACCATATATATATATATATGTATGTTTTTTGTTTTTTTTCCTGGTACTAGGGCCTTTGGACTGAGTTATAGCCCTAACGCTTTTTCAGAAATGTTAAATTTTGAGATAGGGTCTCACAGGCTGGGCTCAAACTTGTAGTCCTCCTGCTTCAGCCTCCCAGAGTATTAGGAGGACAGGCGTGAGCCACCACACCCAGGGGGACACCGTGTTTTCAAGAAACTTCATTGCCAGCATTTCAGATAGGTTTTGTGTAGAACTCCAGGTGACTGCTCTTTCCGGGACTCTGGGACCGGCCATGTGGAGCCCTGGCCCCTGTCACGTGTCGCTGCCCTTCCTGGGCCCAGCCCTCTTGGGCGCACTGAGACCAGAGCCTGGGAAGGAAACAGCCACTTGTGAGTGGCGAGGGGCAGAGCCGAAGCTGGGGGCGACTGCGGGGGTTCAGGGTTGTGGGGTCAGATGCCCAGGGGGCTGCCTGAGGTCGGGAGCCGAGGACCTGGCTTGCGGTGGGGACGGCCTGGGTCGCTCAGCCTTGCTCGCTGCAGGGTCACAGGTGTGACTCACGCGGTGGGGCTCTTCCAGGAGGAGAATGACCATCGCGCAGAGCCTGGAACACTCCTGGATCAAGGTGAGGCCTGGGTGATGGGGGCTGTCCGCCGCCCCTGCCTCCCTGGGGTGGGGCTGGGGCGCCCCGGAGGGCAGGCAGGGGAGGGACCCTTGCAGTGGGGTCCAGCAGGGCTACTGTGAATGCTCTGGGAAGATGCCACTTGAAAGCACAGGGCTGGCGACAGCCTGCACCTTGCCCCAGCCAGACGTCCCCAAGTTCCCGGTCTCCCCGCAGGCCATCCGGCGGCGGAACGTGCGCAGCGAGGACAGCGGGCGGAAGCCGGAGCGGCGGCGCCTGAAGACGACGCGGCTGAAGGAGTACACCATCAAGTCGCACTCCAGCATGCCGCCCAACAACAGCTACGCCAGCTTCGAGCGCTTCTCGCGCGTGCTGGAGGAGGTGGCCGCAGCCGAGGAGGGCCTGCGCGACCTGGAGCGGAGCCGGCGGCTGTGCCGCGAGGACGTGGAGGCGCTGGCGGCCATCTATGAGGAGAAGGAGGCCTGGTACACGGAGGAGCGCGACAGCATCGGCCAGGACCTGCGGCGGCTGCGGCAGGAGCTGCACAAGACCGAGGCTCTGCAGCGGCAGGCGCAGGAGGAGGCCAAGGGCGCGCTGCTGGGTGCCAGCGGGCTCAAGCGCCGCTTCAGCCGCCTGGAGAACCGCTACGAGGCGCTGGCCAAGCAGGTGGCGTCCGAGATGCGCTTCGTGCAGGAGCTGGTGCGGGCGCTGGAGCAGGAGCGGCTGCAAGGCGGGGAGTGCGGCCTCCGCTAGGGACAGGGCCCGCAGCCGGGCCGGGTGGGTGGGAGCCTCGGGCAGCTCGCAGCCTCTGCGTGGAGCCGGGGACTCGCTGGAGGAGGCTCCCGTCTGGCATAAAGCGGACGTTGGCAAACTCCTGTCTCTGTTTCCTGAGTTTCAGGGAGCTGCCCAGTGCTGGGTGAGGGGGCCTCCGCAGGGCGTGGGTGTGGGGTGAGGTGCTACTGCCACCTCTTCACCCCCCAGAAGCGCTGGAGGAGCCCCTGCAGTGACATCAGCCATGCCTGGATGTCACTCTTTGATTGTGTCCCTGCCGTGTCCCTTTGAGTCTGTCCATGCCCGGGCGCTGCCTGTCCCTTAGCTCTGCATTGGCTGCCAGCCCTCCTCCAGGGTGGTCCTTGCCCCCACCATGCCAGCGCCGTCTTCTGTGCGCCCCAGGAGCCCTGAGAAGTGGTAGTTTGCGCCTTACTCCAGAAGACCACAGCCGAAGCCCCCAGCCCCGCCTGCCAGATCCCAAGACCCTCCGGGATGTGCTGCCCTGGCCTGAGCGTCCAGGCAGGCAAGGACAGTCCCCAGCCCAGAGGCCGGGGTCTTTACCTGTGGCCAAGCCCAGGCCCTATGTGGCCTGTGTGAGTGTGGGACCCGCCACATCCCTGGCCACTGCTGTTCTCTGTGTACGTGCGTGACAGTGTGCCTGTTGGAAGCCAAGTGGAATAAAGCCGCCTCCCTGATGGCAGTGTCTGTGTCCCGGCCCCCAGAATGGCCAGCCCTCTGCCCCAGGCCTGGTGCCTCTAAGACTGCACATCATTTCCTCCTGCCACCTGCCTCCACTCAGGAAGACAGCGTGATTGATTCTTTGCTCTACCTCTGTCCCCTTGTGTGGGCCTTGCAAAGCAGAGGGGCAAGGCCTGGCCTAGAGGCACCTGCAGGTGCCTGTGCAGCCACCCAGGACCCCCAGGACAGCCCCTCTGGCCCTCACCTGCTTCCAAGCCGGGGTTCTGAGCCCTTGCTGGTCCTGGTCACAGCTGTGGCCTCATTCTACATCGAGGGCAAGTGTCGCCCTTTTCAGATTTTTTTTTTTTTTTGTCTTTCTGAGATAGGGTCTCACTATGTAGTTCAGGCTGGTCTTGAACTCACTTTGTAGCCCAGGCTGGCCTCAAACTTGCAACGATCCTCCTGCCTCAGCCTCCAAAGTGCTGGAATTACAGGCGTGTGCCACCATACCTGGCCCCTTTTTAGTTTCTAAAAAATTTTTATTGGTCCATTTGGAGAACATGCTCACATTCTTTGCAGGAAGCTGGTACATAGGTGTAATACCTCAACTTGTTAAACCCTCCATCTCTGGGTCTCCTTCCCATTTGCGAAGGAACCAACTCCCAGAGTACAGAGAGCCTAGTGGCAGAGACCACTGCAGTGGGGGGACTTCGGTGAGGTCCATCCCCATGCTGGACACCACCTGGCCAGGAAAGGAGCAAGGCTGTGACATTCGCCAGTTTGGAGGGACCTTGAGGACGCTGTGCTGAGTAAAAAGCCAGATTCAGAGGACACAGTGGGCTGTATCAATAGGAAACACCCAGGACAGGTGACTCAAGAGAGGAAGTGCACTCATGCGTGGCAGGGGCTAAGAGGACGACTCTTGGGGATGGGCTTGCTTTTGGGTAGGTAAGAGAATTTTCTGGAACTAGAAGTGATAAGTCACATAGCAATATTTTTTTTTAAATTATTTTTTTATTTTTTGTGTTTTTGAGACAGGGTCTCGCTATGCAGTTCAGGCTGGCCT